ATATCATGACCACCCAAATGTTAGAGAGTTAACTAAAGAATTTGACAAAGCCCTTCAGTGATAAGCCTCTCAGTACAATATGATCTTTTCATCAAATATTCCGAATATGTTATTAAGCATGACTCGGTGTCTACTTATGACATTTCATATTAGTTCTCATAATTCATGACTAACTTTATAAATATAGGAAACTAACTTTCCTTAAATTCATCATGCTTTGGCCAAAGACTTTATACGAGTTAACTAAGAATTGAGAACAAGTGAGATACATCCCCTCATATCACTTGGGGTGATGAATCCTCTTTTGACCACTCATTCACCTTCGCATGCTTCATGGCATAACCAAAAACACCTTATTTAGGCATTTGGTTGCTTCCAAACCTATAGGGTGAAATCAAAGTATGTCATTTCCAATACAAGATGACCTGGTGTCTCAAGTCTAAGGACTAGTTACACGACTATCACATGAGAACATTTTTTAGACACTCAGTGAAATATCAAATGGAGTTCTCATATTAGGTCATGTTTAGTGAACTTGTTCTTTAGGTGATGAATCCTCTTTGACCACTCATCACCTTCGCATGCTTCATGGCATATCCAAAAACACCTTATTTAGGCATTTGGTTGCTTCCAAACCTATAGGGGTGAAATCAAAGTATGTCATTTCCAATACAAGATGACCTGGTGTCTCAAGTCTAAGGACTAGTTACACGACTATCACATGAGAACATTTTTTATAGACACTTCAGTGAAATATCAAATGGAGTTCTCATATTAGGTCATGTTTAGTGAACTTGTTCTTTAGGTGATGAATCCTCTTTTGACCACTCATTCACCTTCGCATGCTTCATGGCATATCCAAAAACACCTTATTTAGGCATTTGGTTGCTTCCAAACCTATTGGGGTGAAATCAAAGTATGTCATTTCCAATACAAGATGACCTGGTGTCTCAAGTCTAAGGACTAGTTACACGACTATCACATGAGAACATTTTTCATAGACACTTCAGTGAAATACCAAATGGAGTTCTCATATCAGGTCATGTTTAGTGAACTTGTTCTTTAACAAGCACCTACATGTTATCCTCAAGGATCCAATATACTTCAATCTATGAGATCGATTGCTTACTTCCTAAGTAAGAAGGCTTAACATGTTATAGTCTTTGAACATTGTCAATGCCCTGTCTTGATAATAAAATGACCAGGAACAATTCTAGGAACATGGCTTTGATGCATAGTGATCTCATAATTATAATAACCTTATAATTCTCTTACAAGGTCTTTATGTTCTATGAGCTTCATCCAATTAGTACTTAATAACTCTTTATTATTACACTACCATGAAGGAAAACCTCTATCATATAAAATTATGAGATTAAATATGCATTAAATAACAATATATATTCTTTGACTAATCTAATTGGCTCAAGGGCATATACCAACAACTTCTACCTATGATTGGTGAATTTAATTTATGAAAATGGAAACCAGAAAACTAAAAGTAGCAGCATATTGCTTTGAATGTGATGGAAACCTGTTGGGGTTGGCTTTGCTGAATATATGGTAAAATTTGGAGTTTCAAACGCATGTTGGAGTTTTCAGATAAAGACTGCAAATGGCTCATCTGAAACTGTGGCTTCAGAGAAGTTTCTAAGATTGTTTCAGAAGTCTCAGAACCTTCAACCAAAAAGAACTGGTCCTAACTATGAACTGTAATCGACTATAGGTGACCATTTCCACAACAATGCCAAAACTTACTAGTAGCCTCTTCATATCTTGAGCAATTATTATCAAATAATCAAATGTGAGATGTAATTTTGTAACATAACCTCCTTAAGACCAGTTCAGAGGGTTTAAGGTAAACAAATGCGATTGAACGTTAAAATTAAGCAGATTCTGTCTTATTAATGAAAGCAATCCAGATTCCTGTGGTTGGACTATATGCCCAGAATTTAATTCCAAAAGACTGGCAATTAAATCATCCCCTCGAGGCTGCATTTGTCGAAACAGTACAGCTACCAACCAAATGAATTTTTATCAGGTCTTGCCTTCTACGTGCGGACCATGCATATGGATATAGTTTTGTTTAGAATGGCATATGGCCATATAAAATTTTTTTTAAACAATACCTTAATGCACCATCCGGTTGTCAGGCAGCAGAGGGGAGAAAAATAAAACAATTATGAACATAGCAATAATTATCCTAATCCAAGCTGCTGCATAATTTTAATGCTTTTCTTTCTTTTTTCTTCCATTTCGGCTGAGACCAAATGGTGCACGAAGGTTGGTATAAGCTGGATTTAAGACATTAGGTTGTTGATGTCTTATTAATTTTTTGAAAACTGCTTGTCAAATTGCCTACTCATTCTCCATTCAATAAATAAGCCATGTGACGGAACATATGCGCCAGAGATATCATATGATTATTAAGGCAATTGGATTCAGCTGCACGAGCTTCTGGCAGGAGAAGAAACCATTTGGCTGAACAGGAAAGCATACAAGCTTGGTCAATAACCCCAGCTCCATGACTTCAGGCTCTCTATCTCTCTCTGCTACACATTTGAGGGAAGTTGGCTTAGCAGAATCCTTTTGGTGGATGACCTGAATTAATAATTTCATATCTCAGATATTCACTCCTCAATTACTTCTTCAATACTTGTCAAATTTGATCTTACAAGGACCCTTATGTATTTAATCAAGATTATCTTGGTGAGGGCTTTGTCCAAGAAGAATAAATGTTTTAGAAAATGTATTTTCTGCGATTGCTAGCTCTGGCAGAAACTGACAATTCAATGCATCATTTCAAATACAGATGACATATAATTACCAGAACTGACCACGGGGTGACTTCCCAAAAGTTAATGGCTACACTTAAGCTGGTGCAGGCTAGAGAAAGGATAGCCTTTTTCATCGTACAAAAACTGGAAATAAGGTATCCTCGCCATAAACACAGATTGCAAAACATCAAGGACCACTGTTGAGGCGTTCCAAGAATCCAGGGCCACCATTGGAAATTCCACATAAAAATCTTGTGGGATAAGGATTGTGAATCAAACTTTGCAATTAAATTGAAGCTTGCTTGGTCTTTCAGGTGAGAACAGAGGAATGGTGTTGGCACTTCTCAGGATTTGAACAGGGTTTTTATCTAATAAACAAAAGGGGACAGATATATAATTGAAACTGAAAGCTAGATTCACATGGAAATAATTTAATGCTCTGAGCTCTCCCTAATATCTTTTGATTGTTTTTTCTCCATTTTAGAAGAAGAATTAAAAAATTCTGTCAAGTATATGACAAAATCTATTAGGTACCATTGTTTAAGAGCAGCTCGTTAGGTTTGGCAAACACTTAGCTAGAGTCTGAGTTGCTTGAAGAAATCAGCACTTGTTATGATGTTAGAACAACGCAAAAATAACTCTATTCCAAAGGAATACATCAACCTATTTGGAGTTAGAAGGATATACCTTTGGCTCGGCGTTTTAGCGACAGACACGTCAAGGAATGCAAAAACAAAGTGAAGGTCACTGAATCTGAATATGTGCTGAGAGAATAAGGTAATGAAGAATAGTGTTGTTAGTTTATTTATCGCCGCCCATGAATATTGTAAATGGAGATACTCTAAAAGATCTGAATTGTGCAATCCAGACAAAGATTCGTGATAAAAACAAGTCAATCAATTTGCATCTGATTTTATGAGACAAAAACAGAAGGGAGAAGGCACTTTTGTCCAAGGGCTAGAAATTTTTTGACAAACACTTACGAAACCCAGTAAGAACAGTTGGTAGAATCCAAAAGTGGAGAACGAAGAAAAAAAAAAGAAAAACAGAGAAAGGCAAAGGCCTTTTCCCTCTCCTTAAATCAGGACATGTCAAGCAAAACGTGTTGTCTGCAAAGCCAAAAAGGCCAAAACGGAAAGAAAAGGCGTTTTTTGTACCGTTCTCATCAACTGCTTTCAAAGAGTTTTCCGTGTAGAATTGTGCTTGTGATCTTTCAATTCCACACACTCCTCGACGATAGAAAACCCAAATGTCATTCGGTTTTACGCAATTTTAAGCCGCAAAATAATACTCATAATAATAATAATAATAATAAAAAGATTAGCAAAAAGGGCGAAGAAAAATTCACAAAATTTGTTAACCTTCAAAATTTCCTTTTGATATTTTTCTTTCTTGTATACCCCTCACCCCAGCCACCCAACCCAAGGTACCAAACACTCCTCCAGCAGTGGCACTCACTGAACCAAAGGCGCCCTACTCCTCCAAAACTGGTCGCCCTTTCTGAGTGAGTTGGTCGAGCCAATCTCCCCGCCTGGCTAACCCCATTCCGACCTTTTTACGTGTGCAAGGCGACTAGAGAGAGAGCGCCCGAGAATTTTGTTTCCCCAACGAACAAAGAATAGATTAGCTGGAAAAAGCTGGAAACCTACTCCTCCAAAAATCGCTTCACAATCTTCACGCTTGGCTCCACGACTTCCCTTTCCCAAATATCCCTCCATTCCAAATCCGACGATGATGACTTCTTTTTCCTCATCACAGCTCCAAACGTTGCCGTTGCGTCTAATCTTCTTAGGTCCCACCCAGCCCCTATCAGCCGCAAGATCTTCCCTATCTGCCTCTTAGCCAACCGACACGTGTTATCTTGAATCTCCCTCACCGCTTCCTCGTACGCTTCCCTCCGTACCGGATCACACCCCTCCTCCGGAACCATGCCGTTTTCTTCGCTTTCCCACGGAGGGTACTTCCTAAAATATCCGTCAAATTCGGGCACTCCGATTGCTTTCCTTAGCCCGACCCGGACACTCTCTTTGTCCGGGGCATAGAACTGAGCCAACTCTTCGAACATCCCCGAATCAAGCATTTCATCAACTCGTTTGCACAAATAGTCACAGAGTACCGACCACGCAACGTCAACCCAAAGAAAACAACAATCATACCTCAACACGTGACTCACTGAGCCCGACCCGGCGAACACGTCCACTTCAGAGTCAAAGGTTTCCACAAGGAGAGCGTGAATAAAAGAGTTGGACCCACCAACAAGAAACGGCAAATTCCCACGCGAAACAATGTTGGCGATGGTTAAACCCGCAGAGGAACGGAACTGTGAGGGCGCCACGTCAGCGTCGATTGAGTCGAACTCGCCCAGCAGAAAGTGTGGAACCCCCTTCCTTTCGTGGAGGGGGATTTTGTTGGTGGTTATGTCCAAGCCGTTGTAAAGTTGCATTTTGTCTGAGTTTATGATTTGAGAGTGGGGGAAACGGCTGGACAAGTCGATGGAGAGACGGGACTTTCCGGTGCCCGTGGCGCCCATGATGACGATGAGTTTGGCCTTGTTTTCGCTGCTATCTTGGTGGGGGGTGGAGGAGTCCATGCGGGGCCACCGTGGACGGCGGTGGAGGGGAAGAGGAGGGTGAAGGAGTGGGGAATGGAGGGAGTGAAAGGAAGAGAAAATGGGTTTCATAGGGAAAAAAGGTACAGGCTGGTTATGGGCTTTGATGAGCTGTGAAGGGACATATACGGAAACCCCTTCTGCGTGTGTCTTCTTACTTGCTATTAGTACTGCGGTTGTTTTGTGTTTTTGGCTTCACAATAACACAAAGAGAGAGAAACAGGAACAGAAAGAGAAAGAGAAGTCAAGTAATGGCGTTTGGCATATTATTCATTGAGCGATTGTGCTTAAGTATGCTTTTCTCTGTGTTTCGGCATTCTGGGTTTAATCATGGCCTCTCTCTTTCCTGCCTCATCAGTCTTATCATCATTCATCCCTTTCATGCGGGCCGGTGCGGCTTTCCTCTGTGTTGTGTTGAGCTTGATGATGATGAAGAAGAAGAAGCAGAAGAAGCAGAAGAAGAAGAGACAGATACGATGGGGATTGAAGATGGATAGTAGGGAACAATATCAGGTGGAAACGCTGGAAATATTCATTATAAATAAAAAAGAAATTTGATCTCTTCAAGCGGTAATCAGGGCAGGGCAGGGTTTGGAATCCTCCTGTTCACCCCCTAAACCAAAGCAAATAGAAAATTGGAGCTGCCAATCTAAGTTCCCTTGCCTCTTTATATTAATTGGTACATCCATTATGTACACCTTTTTAAAAAGAATTAAGTTAGAAAATGTCAAAATGAACCTTTTCGCTTTTAAAACATGAGTTCAAACGTATCAGATCTTCTAATCTCAATTGTATCAACTAAAATGGTTTACAAGTGAACTTTGAAGAAAAAATAAATAGAAGAAGGAAAAGAAAACAATTAAAATTGATTTAATAAAAAATACCCACGAGCTGCAAATGCAAATATAGCATGGCTGTATGACTGCATCTAATTCTAGGATCTTGCCAGGTATGAAGGAAAGTGAGATTTTGAGGAGACGATTCTTATATAATCCAGTCACTTTCAGCTGGAGACATACTTAGCCTCTGAACATTGTTTAGATTGTTGTTATACTGAATTAATATTCCATCTAATAAATTAAAGTCTAATGGAAATAAAAAATTTAAAATTAAAACCAAGTCAGAAGTCTATTCAAAAGCTTAGATTTGTTTTCCCCTTGTAATCTTTTTCTTTTTCATAGGTTCCCCATCTAATCTTTATGTCTAATATTATCTGTAAATGTTTGAATAGCACAAAGTTTTAAAAACGAATATTTCTATACTAATTGAATATTATTTAAGAGATCGTGTGTTATTATTATTAGCATATTTTGAGCCAGAAAATTTATGACCATTGATAAGTGCTTAGTTTTCACCAAACTAAGAGGGAATCTGCAATCAAAATTGTATTTCGATCCATAATTCTATTTCTATGTCTTAATCAATTAGATGATTATATTGGGATAAATTTTTAAAATTTTTTAATTATTAGAGCAGAAATATGGAGTCATCTCTCGGACGCCATGTAAATATTTAGTGGTTCAGTTGTTTACATAGTGTCTTACGTTTCGACTCTCCCCTTTTCTAGTACCCTTTTTTCCCTGGTTTCATGCAATTAGCAAAACCAGTATTTTGTTTCTTACAAAAATCTGTTGGTAAACAATAACTCCCAGTCGTATTTATAAATTTGAAAATTATTTTATATAGAAAAGGTTGAAATTTTTACAAAGGTAAAGAATTTAATCCTTTAAAACTTGTTGTTTGTAGAACATTGAAACTTAAGATTTCATCTTGAAACGGGTGGGGTGAAATTCATGAAATAGGAGACAATCTATCATATTGTATAGTTCAATATCACATGTACCAAATGAGACATTTAATATAAAATGGTTGAAGTTTAGAATTGATCCTCCTACTACAATTAATAAATACCTCTAAGCAACAAAAAATAACTGGAAAATATAAATTTTGGGTGGATTTGCCAAAATATTGAGCACATGCCTGAATAAATATTTCAAACCAGGGACAAATTTTCCACTTCAGTCCCTCTCCATGTTCTTAGGAATTGTGACAACAAATTAACTGATAGCAACAAATTGCAGGGGTCTCAATATAGTTAGGTTGTATTCTTGTCGAATAATGTTAGTTGAAATTACTTGTAATTGTATCTATATATACTCAATAAGACTTACATGGAGGACTATCAAAGTCCTTTCTTTGAACTTGTATCAAGTGTGTTACAAGTATTGTGCCTCGTTATCTAATCTAATGGTAAAATTTTTACACTATTAATGGTTGTCTTTAAATCAACATTCTATAAAATTATATGACTAAATTTTTTAAAACTGTGGTAAAGGTACTAAAATCTCCTAATTAAGATGATATATATGTTGGTATATGTCTTTTAGCTAATTAGACTGATCAAGGTATATATATTGCCATTTAATGCATATTTAATCGTATAATTATATGTGATAGAAGTTTTCCTTCATGTTAGTGCAATAGCAAGCAATTATTAAGTACTAATTAGATGAAGCTAATGAAACATAAAAGCCTTGCAAGAGAATTGTAAAGTTGTTACAATTATGAGATCACTAAGCATCAAAGCCATGTTCTTAAAATTGTTCTTGATCATTGTATTGTCAAGATAGGGTATTGACAAGATAGGGTATTGACAATGCTTAAAGACAGGTACATGTTAAGCTTTCTTACTTGAGAAGTAAGCAATCGATCTCATAGATTGAAGTACATGAGATACTTGAGGATAATATGTAGGTGCTTGTTAAAGAACAAGTTCACTGAACATGACCCACGATGAGAACTCTATTTGGTATTTCACTAAGTGTCTATAGAAAATATTCTCATGTGATAGTC